GTTGGTAAGGCACGCAAGTGGCATTCAGGAGGTCTTCGGTTCAATCCCCATTGGCCTCATGTACCTTCCTGGGCATGCTTGGCGCCCGCCACCTAGAGATAGCCCGTTGGTCCCCCCAATTGGCATTAAAAAAAGAAAGCAGTCTCTGCTGATGTTCATAGGGGGAGGGAGGGGTAATCGGGGAGGCATAGCGACTGGCCACTTAGATGATGCTCGCACCCTCCATCTGTGACCGGCGGCCCCCTGGCAGGTGTCCCCCATGGGGGGTTCACTGAAGGCAATAAAAAAAGGCCACGGTGGGCTGAAAAGGCCACCCGGTGTCAGATTAGACACAATATTGAATTTACCTGGGCTGGTTAGTCCGATGATAATACCTCAAGGCCATCACCCATCAAAAAAAAAAAAAAAAAAAAAAAAGTTATCATGACATCTCCGCATGCACTGTTCTCAGTAGAAGATAGATGCACCTCGGGATGAGAAAAATTGTTGGAAAGATACAGAGAAGAGAGATGAGCATGGTGCAAGCATGACACATATAACCCTCTACTACATGCACTTCGTCGCTTTCTGCGACCAGGCGCATTTGTACGTTGCCAGCATTCCGAATGCATCGGTTCCATAAAGCATCCAAATGCATGTAGAGTGTTGTGTAGCGCAGCGCGAGGACTTAGGGTCTCGTTAGACACTCCTGAAAATGCCTGTTTTTAGGATTGCGTCGTCGTTGCACACAGTCCTAAGACGAAATCGGAGATCGAAAATGTGAAAACGGCGTTAGGACGAGTCCTAAAAGATTTAGGATTCCCCAGGCAAAATCGTCCTAAATTTTACAGTAGCCCCCGACCTACTGAAAAATTTAGGATTCCCGTGTTTCACGGAGTCGTTGCGTCGCGCGCATGGCACCGTCGACACTCGTTGGTGGTCCAGAAGCGGTCTGTCGAGTCGGTGGTTGGACATCGGAGGTTTTCTACGGCTCGACGCGGGCAATGGCCACACACGGTAGCCGTTGGCTGAGGGGGTGGAGCGCGGAGGGCCGAGCGTCGGCTGGTGGTTGCCCGTACTGGACCGTTGAGTCGCTTGCGAGATGCGGAGTCGGACGTTGACGTGCGCAGGACGACAGACGGAGCCGCTTCGGGCAGCGCGCACCACAACGGTCGAATTTCAAAAGGAAGGCAAGCGTGTTCGTCGTCTTCTGTGGTGGTTGTCCGCATATGAAGGTCGAGCGCCCCTGTCACGGGCATGTCGGAACACACATCTGCAGTGGTCACATGCGAGGGCGGCTGCAGAGGTGAATTTCATGGCTGACGTGCGGAGGAGATTGCCTCTGCTGGTACTCGCTGTCGTCGTCTTCCTGATTGTCGTCTTCCTCTACGTGTGTTTTTCGTGGCGGCCGTGGAAACAACAACGCAAGAGGAGGGCTTCGACGAGACGGGCGGCAGGTGAACGTCTAATGGCGGGCATGCAGGCACGACAGGCTGCTGCTGTAGGTCAGGGAGGAGTTCGATCTTCTGCGGTGGAGCCTCGAAGGCGGTACGACCCGTCCATGTACACCCATCTGGATTCGTGGGACACGCCATTGCCCCCGTCGGATGAGGAGCCGGAGAAGGAAGAACTTTTGACGTTGCCTCTCGCTAGCGGCTCGACTCAGTTGTGGTCGCAGACGGTGCGAGCAGGCGGGTCGGCTCCCGACGGAGGGGGCGAGTTCACGTCATTGCTCCATCAAGGCTTGCGGGACGACGACGGCGGAGGAGTTGATCTGAGGTTCGAGTTGTGTTCTGGTGGCGAAAGGAAGGCGAGTCGCACGTTCATCATCGACGGAGATCGTTCGGCACGTGGCGTTGAGCACGGTGGAAGTCTACATACGGAGCAGTCCACACTTCGTCGCGCTGCACCCGTGACTTGCGCGGTCGGGCCATCGCCAGCGGGACGGCAGCGTGGATCGACTGGTTCGTCCGTCGATCGATCGGGCGGTGCACGTTCACTGATGCCTGCGTGCACAACACCGGTCGAATCCGGAGTGAGGGACGAGGGAACGTGCAGAGCGCCGGTACGTCCACGATCCACTATGGAGAACATAACACGTGGAGTGTCGAACATGCGGGCACACAGCGATGCAGGCGAAGACGACGTTGGCTTCGGTGACGATGCAGACGAAGGGATGAGGGAAGACGTGGAAGCGGGGGACGATGACGACGACGTTCCAATTCGGCCTTTGGGGAAGACGGCTGGGAGGGGGAAAGGACACGGCAGAGGTGGTGTCCGTGGTCGATCCGTTGGCCGTGGAGGCAGAGGCGGCGTAAGTGACGACTCCGGGAAGTCTCCGACGTACTGGTCTGCAGAAGACCAAATGCTCCTGCTGCGATGCAAGCGGGAGCAAGATATGCACCTCGCCGACTTGTCTCACAATTACGGGCGGATGAAGACGAAAGAGTGGAAGTGGGAGGACATGTCGAAGCGGATGGCGAATGCGGGGAGGCCGAAGGACGCTGACGACAGCACGAAGAAGTTGGACAAACTGTTCCAGAACTACAAGAAAATTCAGAGGTTTCAGAATGCCAGCGGGCGGCCAGATTTTTTCAGGCTGACGAACGAAGAGAGGAAGGAGCACAACTTCAAGTTCCGGATGGACAAGGCGCTGCACAACGAGATCCACGCAGGCATGGTGGGGAACCACACGATTTTCCCTCCCAACGTTGTCGACACTGGCAGTCCGGATGGGGTGCAGCTGCCCAGGCGAGGAGCGGGTGGCGGGGAGTCTGTTTGTAGTGAGGCGGCCGGTGAAGGTTGCCCTGACGAGCGTTCTTCTGCGAGGGAAACCGATAGCAACGCAGGCAGCGGGGCGGGAGGCGGGAAGCGGAGGAACGCGCGTCAGCAGGCATTCGAGTCCATCTCTGATGTCATGGAACGCCATGGCGCACTGATGTCGTCGACGATCGAATCGTCTAGCAAGCATCAATGCAGCATCTCCACGAGGCAATGCGACATATTAGAGCAGGAAATTGCCGTCCAAAAAACGCACTATGTGTCGTCTGATGAGACGCAGAGGATGATGTGCCAAGCACTGTTCGAGATCGCTGCCGCCATCCGTGGTCGGTCGGCCATGTAGGCCATTACGTGTTGTGTTGATCAAAGTTGGTTCTTTGCCGTCGTCATCGAGTTCTTTTTTTTTTTTCGGTTGTGAATTGCATGATGTCGCCATTGGCGATGCTCGTGGACGGCTGCCGCGGAAGCAATGCCAAGTACTAAACGGACAATTGGGGGCGCCGAGAGGGGGGGAGGGGTGTGTGTGTGTGTGTGTGTTTAAATTTTTTATTTTTTTTTGCCGTAGTTAGAATTGGGCGCCGTTTG